GTCAGTGGTTCTGATTTTGACTATTTAAATTGTTCCACTACAACTAACTCAATAAAATAAACATATTATTAGAGAAGTAGTTCAGGTGGTAGCTGCGTCAGCATGCATAGTCTGCAAAGGAACAAGTAATAGGTTTATTCCATGCTGAAAAGAGAAGAGAAAAAACACAACATTTCAGTGTCACACCTTAAGAAGGCTTCACCGCCGAAACGTTGCGTTTTCTCTCTCCTCTTTTCAGCATGGAATAAACCTATTACTTGTTCCTTTGCATATTATTAGAGATACAGGCCCTTATGAAAATACATTAGCAATCTTACAATGCACAGCAGACTGGTCAAAGTTCTGTGATAAATTATTCTTTCTGCCTATAATCTTTGTTCTATTTCTCTTCTTTTACTGACCCCATGAGTTTTGGCAAGACGTTTCTCAGGAATACCGTTACACATCTGCTCTTATGCAAACATTAGGTAGGTTCCTTTTGATAAATTTCCTTTACAGATTATCACCCATTGCAGAAGACTAATTGCTTACAGCTGAAAACTCAGAGCTGTAGTGGTCCTACGGCTATTTTCTTTAGACCTGGGAGTATGTACAATTTGCTACAAAGACAAAGAAAAAAACCTTCTACAGCCAGTGAATCCTAATTATTACATCAATTATCACAAACAAATCAAGAAACTATTCATGGGAAAGACCATTTAATGAAGCTGATAAAGTCAGTAACAGATCAAAAAGAATGAAGCAGCAGTCCATAAATATCAAATAATATTAAACAACTTTTGCATACTATTTTCTCAAGTTTATGTTTCCTTTTAATTAAATATTGTTCCTTGGCAACTGACAACAACTAACAGCAGATCACGGTCTTATTCAACATTGTTAACCAATGACATACCTACCCTATAAAGTCTGTTCTTCAAGCAATATTTAATTGTACCACACAGGAAACCATTTCAATGTCTACTTAGTTCCAGAGATATTGCATAAAACAAAACTATCTGTTGTTGGACTCTGAAGCAATTAGACCACTTGGCTATTTGACCAACTGTGCATTCCGATACCCAGTGCACTTAATTATATTTTTTGATGGTAATAGTCTCCGTCAGTTTTGAGCATTGCTTTTCTTTGATGAATATTTAAATTATATTTGAATAAGAAACTTCAAATTTTAATTTTATATTCTGCCTACAGCAGTAGCCCAATTCAGGTTTAATTTAGAATGGTAGGCAGACATATGGTGGATGTACACATCACATGCATAAATATACTAAGTAGCTTAAAAACAACAGATAGGTTGAACTTTATTATGAAGAATTAACAGGGAGAAATATTGCATAAAAATTAAATTTACATAAAAGTGCACTTGTGTCTGTATGTTCTGGAATGTAATTACAGCAGCTCTGATATACAGTTGACAAGAAGGTGACAAAGTAATTAAACTGGTACATATTCCAATTCTTTGATAAAGACATGGAAAATGGCTGTATTAAGTCTGTAGTACAGTCATCATACCTTTTCCACGCCAGGATTATAGTGCTTTTATTAGCATGAATCAATTATAGCAGGAGGCAAAGAGTCACAAATCAGCCAAAGATGAAGGAAATCTCAATGAAGCTAAGCTGAAAGCTGTCCCTATGCTTGTTGTTTTTTAGATGCTTTAGACAGTGGCACTTGATGCAGACCTAATGAAGCAGGCTGATCCTCATGTAACAACATACAGCAAGCACAGTAAACGTTACTGGATCATGTCGAGTCAGACGGACCCTGTAATTCAAAAGCATTAAGCTGTCCGCATTCTCAGTGCTCTTTGGCTGATACATTGCAGAGGGACGAGATGCAATTCCACCAAGGTGTATAAATTCATTATTGTCCTTTTATACTTGATACAGTTTGAACATGAATCAATAAGAACACGGTGGTTTTAAGATAATCTTTCCGCTCAAATTAGGCTTTCGGATTGAAATGTCTTTCACCCTCCTTCCCTTTATAAAAGGAAACTATTCTTATTTATTCCCATTGATTTGACAAAAGATGTGACAATCTGTTGAATATAGCTTGAACCAAATTTTATTCTTTTTCATTTTCACTATTTTCAATATAAACACACAATCATCAATAATAATAATAATAATAATAATAATAATAATAATAATAATAATAATAATAATAATAATATTGAAAGTATTTTCACTTAACATTGGTAAACACAAATTATCAAAGGTGCAAGTCAACATTCAAAACCATTATATATAAAACTTTCAGATGTTCTTCTTTGTGTTATATAGAAATGAGACAATCAATTTTGATGTACTGTTAAAATAAATCAAGTATGACAATTTAAATGAGACAGTTATAAATCACATTCATTCATCATTTAGGAAATATTTAGCAGGTTGTACAGGTTGCTTTTACAAGTGCCAAGTGCTTTTCTTTTCATGATCCCACTTCTGTTTCAATCATTCTGTCTTTTGAAAGCAGTCTTTTAATTTATCCCTATACATATTTTGGCTTATACGCAGTAAACGTATGTTTATTCTGTACGTGAACTAACTAAAAAACACAAATCACTGTAACAATGCTCTGTTATCCAAAGTGTACTCATAGAATATAAAAGTAGTTCAGGTGGGTAGCTGTGTCAGCATACTTACGCTGCAAAAGAACAAGAAATAGGTTTATTCCATGCTGAAAAAAAAAAGAAAAAACACAACGTTTCGGCCGTGGAGCCTTCTTCAGGTGTGAGGCACACGCCGAACGGCCAAAACGTTGTGTTTTCTTTCTTCTTTTTTTCAGCATGAAATAAACCTATTACTTGAATATAAAAGTAGTTTAAAATTAAATGTGTTGCCTAGGACCAGGCTAAAGATTTAAAATAATAATACTGAAATCCATCAGTAACTAAGGCTGGACTTTTAACAGCCTAAACTACAATATATAACAATATATATAGTACTACTATAACTACATTTGTCTCTTTTAGAAAAATGAAATCCTTAATCTCTTCAGTGAATAAATATCAGCACTAACTCTCTTTACCCACTACTTTTAAAATTTATACTGATAAAACAGGACTTTTGATTTTTTTTTACCTAGTACATCAAATGTTCAGGGTCACACTTGGGGCAACATTAGGATATGGAAACCTTAGGACAGTGAGAGCAAGTCAGCTGTCTGGCTTTATCAAATAAGAGTTGACAATAACCCCTTGAATACATCTAATGTTGCTGCTCTGCAGTTTTTATTTCATTATTTCTTATTTCCCCAGACAGAAAGCAAGAGTTGCTGACAGCCTCATATCATCTGATTTCTTTGTTTTGCCAGGAAGCATACAATTCTCAATTCAGGGGCTTGGTCTCAAATGAGACACTTTGCTTATCCATGACTGTGTGAAAACTCAACAATTATCTAAGTACAGTGTTACAGTTAATTCCTTTGTGAAGCATACTCTTACAAAGGGCCCTTTTATGCTGATAATATACTGGAATACATACATACTTATTAGGAGCTTAAGTGGCAAAGCATTGTAGATTGACGACCTACTCTTCTAACTGGAAAGAATCCAGAATGAAACAGACCCAGTATGAACTTCCAGCTGTACTAAAACTAAAACAGTTTATGGTAAAAGGTTAAATGGCATTAATTCAGCTAAGTTACAATCTTTGTTGTACCCCACGCAAGGGGCCAATGCTTAATATGCATGAAGCTCACATTGTTCTCTCTACTTAAGGGAAGGGATGTCCATTTTAGCATTAAGAAAGCACAAAACAAGTTTTCTTTAAAAACAAAAGATGAAAAATCTTGTTACATTTACAGCCCTTTCCAAAAAAAAAGTGTCGAGGCTAAACCCACTTATAACACACTGAAATGCACAGTAGGGAACTGCTGTTATGTATTTAAAGGTCACAATTACCTATTTAAAAAAATAAACAAAAAGCTTTTAAATATACATTATTTCTTCTAAACTAATATGTTTATATTAATGCCAACTATAGGAACATGATGAGAATTGAAAAATTTTGTGATTACCTTTTAATTAATCACGGTAAAACAAGGAAAACAAACATTACTTCACCTTTTTACATTAATACAGATTTTAAACTTCTTAAATTGAGGTTTCTGTTGCATTACATTTTCGACAAGTTTCTGCTTTTCTACATCAGACCATTTAAATTTGGATGCTGGTTTATATATTAATAACATAACAGTCTTATCTATCTTACCGTTTCCATTTACAGGAAAAGGAAAGGGCAAATATTTTAAATCTGTGATGAAGATATTTGCACAACCCCCTTTGTGTTTACCCCACAGTTTTAGTAACGTATCACAAATACCATCTTATACTAGTCTGTACCCAGCAAATTCATGGAATGTACCAAAATTTTATATCCAGTATATTTGAATTAGGATGCAGTGTGAAAATGAAGCAGTTATATATAAATATTGCAATCTTAATTAATGAATTAACACCTAGGGAATTAAGAAATTTTCTAAATAAGTAAGCAACTTTTCAGGAAGCAACCTTTCAAAATGAGTGATGAACGCTTTCCAAAAGGCATACTGAATGAACAGTGGACAGAACTGTAATGCACTAGAAGACACTAGGCCAAAAAAGAGAATGAAACATCCCACAATATTGCCCCAGACTAATCTACTGACCTCAGACCTCAAAGTGGTGTTGTGAATGCTAAACCCCAAAAAATTCAGGTTTCCCATAATATGAATTTAAATGATAAAAATGGCTATTTTAATTCAGTTCCAAATGTATCTTGAAATGTAACTAAGTAATACCTAGCAACAACACTTAGTTTTTGAATCAGTAAATTAATTTTAATATAATTTAATTTTTATAATATATTTTCATTAATTTATTAATGCAATTTTACAAAAAACATTATGACCCTCTGGAATCTTCACACCACATCACACTAATCAAACAAACAAAAAATCAAATTTAAAACATTAGATAATTATTACAATCATATTACGCTTGGAAGATGGCTTACCTTTGAGACATGATTTTGTAAGCATCAGGGAGGTAGCAATTAATATTTTCCATCTGAAAGGGATCTGCATCACAGATCTTGTCATCTGTCCGGCCATAGTTAGCACTCTCAATCATGATGACATCACTTCCTGGACAGCGCAGATCGATTGGATAGCCCTCACAAGACAGCTCTCTCCGTACCAAACCAAATGGCAGAGCGGCTCGGCTGAAAGCTAGGAAGAAAAGAGGACCTTATATCAGAACAACAGGAAAAACTAAAGCTTGTGACAGGGAGGGAGTACAGCTTTTAATTTTTCCAGACTTGAATGTCTCTTAGGTAAAAATTGTGAACAAATATACTCCTTTTTAATTAAATATTATCTATATCATCAAATGCTTGCACACATCCAACAACTATGGCTTCTACTAAAATGGGACTTCAAAAAAGCCCCTTAAACCATATACTGACCTTCACTAAAAACTGACTTGAATATATCATGGGGTTAATAGCACATAGCCATGAAATGTCATGGCTAAAACTCCAACTACACAAACTGCTTACTTGATCAAAGTACATTTGATCAAATGATGACATTTAGAAACAAAAACTGATTTGACTATACCGTGAGAATATAGTAGAGGGCATCCTTATATCAGGCATAAAAACTAGTTACGTACTTATATTCCTTACAAATTCCTCCACATGATGTCCGGTACTCCAAATGTAAGTTTATGTTGAGACCCTTAATGGTTCTAGCCCCTTTTATTTTTTTAGAAGTCATTCAGTTATTTAAAACAAATAAACGTGTTTCAGAAATGAGAGTGGTTAGTGTTCTACAATAACAACTAACTCTATCATTGGTATCTTCTGGTTTATTTGCAATCTTCTTCTATCAGTGAAGAAAAAAACAAGCATCTCAACAACATGAAGTGTAATTTAATCCATCTTACAGCCCTGACAATCGAAGAAAGAACTGGCAGGAGGCTGAGCGAGCAAAAAATCAATACTGTGGCTTTGTGCTCTGCAAATGTGAACACTGCCAAATAGCAGTGCTTAGGGTAAAATGAACTATTTTGCTCCATTTTCTCCTCTCTGAACAAATGATTTTGAAAAGAGCTTTTTTTCCCAAGCTATAAAATGTCAAGCAATAAGTCCCTGAGCTAGGGGAGAATTATTTGAAGAAGAAGCAAAAAGAACTTGCGCTGTAACAGGTGCACTGGCTTTCATTTGCCAAGTTAAAATTCACTTCATCAGTGGACCTTACTCATACAGAGGCATCTTTGGCAAAGAGCAGCAGAAGAGCGCAAACCGACGTGGCACAGATTTCTGCATTGTTTGAAAGAGCACCGCTGCATTACATGCACCGTCAATAATCGCTGTTGTTAGTGGCAACTTGCTGTCTTGGCTGAAGCCGAGACCATTTATGTTTACAGTGCCGTGGTTCCTTAATGAATCTCTGTTCACAGTCTGGTGCCTTGGAAAAAAATGTCATTACTCCTTTCGTACTCTAATTTGTTTTGTAAGATTGGCACTTGAAAACACTGCCTGCTTCTCTTGTGCTATTCCTGCTAATTACCTTAAGTCTTTGGCTGTCATGGATGACACTGTTTGTACTTTTTAAAGTTGAAGTGCACATTGCTTAAACTGATTACCTGAACCCTTTTTAGACTGGGCTGTGATGCTGAGTTCAATCCACCCATTAGTTGCTTGCTATGTCTATAAAGAACAGCGGTGGGGACTGTCTTGAGCTTATTTCAATTCTAAAAAAGGGTCTTGCAACATATTCTAACAAGCAGTATGGAAATCTGGCAATTTCTTTCATCTAAAGACAGTGAAAAGATACATCCCATACTTTCTACAAAAGGTTTTATTCTAGTTGTTCATTTTAAGCACTGGAGACCCTTTAAAATGTTTTCAACATTTTAAATTTAACTTAATTTAAGAAAACATTAAAATGGGCATATTAAAAAAAGCCATTGGAACGACAGAATGGTATGTTCTGCACCATTTAACACACACTCGAGTCGTAATGGAACCTCTTAAAGTAACTTATGTAAAGAAGGTCCATCAAAACTGAAAATGCTAATTCAACAAAGTTGAGATGTTTCTAGCACACAAATGTATGTGATGACAACATCAATGGATGATATCACACTAGGCATAAATACTTTGCCTTTCACCTTCCATGGCTTCTGGAACAGGACAGGTAATCTATTATATTTAATAGAGCAGGTAATTCAGCAGAACGCTTCCAAGACCACTGATGCATATTACTATTTTTTTTTCCTTTGAATTTATTACAACTTGAAAAGATTTTAAAAAAAGACACACTATGTTTTATTGTGTTTCTTCATTTTCACATTTAGACTAGATGTTTGAGGCAGACCTAAAAAGCTGGAAGTGTTACGTTGTTATTCAAACATCATTTTTCAATATTTTAAAACAAAAAAACTACTGTATAAGCTCTAATGCAGTCCAGAAACATCTGCTTGCCAGAGACAGTCCTGAACACAAAAATGAAAACACGGCACAATGGGAGTGCTTCTGACAGCCAATCTCATATCAATGTCAGCAGATCCCTGCACTGCTCAGTCAACTGTCATTGACGGTCTTGGAAAGAACTTAAAAACTATGTAAGATATCAATCAATCGATTAATTAAACAGATTGTTTGATGCTCAGCTCGTATGGAAAATTTTAATCTACACATGAAACCTTTCTTCTCCGTTTCATTTTTACAATACAGATCTGTCAAATTGTTGACTGCTGGGATATCACTGGAGAAAACATTTAACAGATTAGATTTCCTAGCAAGTCCTCAATTACACATTTTTATGACATTTAGCATACAGGGTCACAATCGACCACATATCAGTCAGCTGGGCTGCAGTCACATGTGCCTGATTTGTTTCACTGGTCAGCTTTGCCCTAATTTGCTATCCAAACAAGCACATTATATCAAACACGCATACAAATCTAACTTTATTATGTTAACAAACCACTAACAAGTTGTTTTAGACAAGCAGTTAAAATACTGTTATGCAAATAATAATAATATGCAAATACGCACGCACTGTAAGTTATTTTTTTCTTTTGATTTTAGCACATGAATTAGCATCATTTTATCACTATTACAACAGTGAGAGAAACTACAATAAAATAGTGACTTGAAACTATACTCTTTCCTTAAAGGAAATGTTAAATGGAAAGGGCAGTGCTGTTCCACTGAGAGAATATTGGGTTTACACAGTACAGTAAAGAAGAACCATCACCAAGCAATTTTTTTTCTGGCGTTGTTCAAATTTTTGAAAAAGTAGAATGATTTCATCTGTACTCCCTAACAGACTACCAGCTAAGTTCATACATCACACAGCTACTGCTAGTTCGTAAACAACTGTCAGGGGCCTCTGGATTGATTAAGCCTGGGGCTAAAGTACTTTCTCACCCCCCTGTTGGATGATCTCTCTGGGCAAAGGGTTGAGTGACACTAGCAAATCAATTTTGGGGAGGGAGTATCTGTGTAGCCCCACATGCCTGTTTAAGGACAAATGATTTGGGTCTCTGTTGACATCAGTTCACCACTGTTCATCTCAATTGACTTTGCAGCACCTCAGAAAAAAACTTTAAGAAAGGGCAAGTAATATATTGCCTTAAGCATTATGCCAGTGTATTCTTTAAAGACTCTTGAGTTATTACAACACAGACCCCATACAAATACGATGATAAATGATTTTTCCACATTCAGTTTTAACAATTTATTGATTTGATCTGATTATCTATTTAGCCAAAACAAATTGCAGAATAAATATATATTATACAATTTATGGTCATTATTCTTTCATGTCCAGAAGAAACGGGGGGAAGGGGTTCTGGAGATTTGTTTGAATAAATGAGATAAAAGCAAATTGATACACAGTAACATCTTGCCTAAAGTAAAAGGGATAGGACAACACCACAATGATACAAAACTGAAATTAATGTAATGTAAATATGATAAAAATAAAAATATGGTACTCACCATGCCAAAGAAGCTTCAGTAACAATAGGATAAAGATAACGTAAACCTGGATACTAAAGTATAAATTCACTTTTAATTTTAGCACCTAACATGAAATTTAAAACCATAAACACTACAGAACGAATGGGGGAACGTTCACTGGTGGGAAGTAAGCAAAATACTGTGATGCGTGCGGGATTCAAACTTACACTATCTCCAACAAGTTTTATATCTTTATTTTAATGTTATTTTTTATTTATTTAAATTTAAATATTTGACATTTTTCCAGTTGCTTGTAGGTTCCAGATGCATGATTATTGGATACAAGGAAGTTTATTGAAATAATTTTAAAAACATTGTGGGCATCAATTCATACATATGGACTCACATATGGATCACACCACCACTTCCATTTATAGAATTCCATTGAGGTACAATGGAAAATAAGAATAAAGGAATCAGAAACACATTAGCACCTCAATGACATGAACCAAATGCGTTCTTCACTATACAATGGGTTGCTCTAATAAAGGAGGTATTTAAAAGGCTTTAACTAGCTTATTACCCCATTTCCATTGCTAACAAAGTATATTACTGCATTACCTGACAAAAACTTACGTTATGTCATTTTACAACTAAACAAAAAAATGTGTTGTTGTATTGTTTTGACAAAGCTCACTTTGGCTATTTTCTTTGCGCTAATTGGTAAATCTAAATCTTTACATTTACACAAAGTAGCATTAGTTTATTCCCTCACAACCACAAAATATATTTTGTGGAATCTAAACAAAATGAGTGAACACCTTCACATTCAAAGAAAGTAAATTTATTCCATAAGATCCTGAAAAAACATGTAGTGGAGAAGCCCCATCTATAAATGTATCACTGTCACAATACAGGTTTATTTTTTAACTTGTTTCATTTCTGCAGGAAGTGATACATGTGGAAAATGTTACAGATATTGACAATGGCTATAAAATAAAAATAAACCTGCAAAAGAAACTATCTGAAAGATATACTGCATAGTGATGTGCTAAAACCAATGTTTTTCTTTCACACGCTATCTTCACCTGAGTCAATTTTGTGACTGGAAGAGGGAAAAACCTACAGCATCTTTGCATTCTGGAGGCACTTGTTGCTATAACAAGGGCCAAATCCTTTTTTTTTTTAATTTAGCCTTGTGAAGACCACTGTGCTGAAATGTTAGGGTGAGTGTCTAACTTCTAACTTGGTAAG